ACAATCGGGAGTAAATACAATGACTCGAATAGAAGTGAAATGATGAAGGGAATGGTTTTGTTAAATGTTCTCTTATGTTTATTTCATAGATTATTGGGAACAGAGGGATGTTATCTCTTATGTTTATTTTTCCTCTCATGACTATTTGATGAGAAACAATTAATGTTTTTTTCTTTCTCTTTCTTTAGGGACAACGAAGCCAAAATGATTGAGACGATTGCAAAAGCTGTTTTAGATAAACTGAATGTCACTCCGACTAGGGATTTTGATGGTATGGTGGGACTTGAGGCTCATTTGAGGGAAATGGAGTCTTTGCTAGATTTAGATTATGACGAAGTTAAGATGGTTGCAATCTCTGGTCCTGCAGGGATTGGCAAGACTACCATTGCCAGAGCTTTATACAACCGACTCTCTAGCAGTTTTCAGCTCACTTGTTTTGTAGACAACCTTAGGGGAAGCTATCGAAGTGGTTTTGATGAGTATGGTTTGAAGCTGCGTTTACAGGAACGGTTTCTTTCAAAGGTTTTGAACCACAATGGTATGAGTATACGCCATTTAGGTGCAATAAAAGAAAAACTATGCGACCAGAAAGTTCTTATCATTCTTGATGATGTGAACAATCTAAAGCAATTAGAGGTTTTGGCTAGAGATATTTCTTGGTTTGGTCCTGGAAGTAGGATTGTAGTAACCACGGAAAACAAATAGATCTTGCAGCAACATGGTTTAAAAAAACGTACCATGTGGGGTTTCCATCTTACGAACAAGCTCTCAAGATCTTGTGTAGATATGCTTTCACAGAAAGCTCTCCAAATTATGGTTTTAACAAGGTTTTTGGAAGGATAACAGATCTTTATGGCAACCTTCCATTGGCTCTACGTGTGGTGGGTTCATTATTACGTGGGAAGGAGGAGGGGGAATGGGAAGATGTAGTGAACAGGCTGGAAACTATTCTTGATCGAGATATTGAGGACGTACTAAGCGTCGGCTATGACAATTTAGATGAGAATGAGCAAACACTATTTCTCCACATTGCAGTCTTCTTCGGGCGTAAATCTTATGATCTTGTACAAGCCATGCTTGTTGACGGTAACTTGGATGTCAAACGCGGTTTGAAGATCCTAGTCTATAGATCTCTGGTAGATATATCTACATATGCGGAAAGAATAGAGATGCACAACTTACTACAGAAAATGGCCAGAAAAGCCATTCGCAAACAAGAGCCTTGGAAACGCCAAATCTTAGTGGATGCTCATGAGATTTGTGATGTCCTCGAAAATGAAACAGTAAAGTTATTTTCCGTTCTTTATATT